ATGGGTAGCTGAAAAATACTGCTCACCAACAGAACTGTGTTCATTTATCTATGTAACTTATTCCAAAAATTAAAGCATTATGAAGTTGTTATTCCTTTGCACGAAATTCTCGGATTGAATCGTATCAAAGAATTGGAAATCGAAGTTTTTTTGAAAAAGCATTTTATTAGAGTGGTAAATGTGTACATTTTCTATATGTATTACTTTTTTTTTGAACTTGATAAAATAATTTATCTATATTTCTTATTCAGTACTATCATAATCCACATAAAGGTTACTGTAAATCCCTTGCATCAGCAATTATCAAAGATCCAACAAGTAAAAAAAAATCAACTTTTACACTAATTAGATGACTTAAATCAACGACTAATTTATATTATTTGCATTCAAGGAGGCGCTTTACAAAGAGTAGAAAAAATAGTGTTAAAATTAAGCGACTTCGTAAACCCTGCATTAGTGATTATGGTCATTGATGCAATTAAAAAAAACATACCAGAAAAAAGAGAAATTAACAAAATGGTTGGCTATCGTGTCATTTTGATAGTATTCTTCGTTTGTTTGTTTATTTTATTTACGAAATGGGTTAATTTTTACTAACCAATTTTTTAGTGGAAATATAATGTTTCAAGCAGAAAAACAGAACATCTTTTTTTAAATAAGATGGTAGTACAAAAAACAATATCGCTCTTTGTTCTGTACTTTCATTTCTTCTTATTTAGTTAATTTATTTTTTTTTATACATTATAGCTTGAAATAATTTGTGTTTTTCTCGTAGGTCACTTAACCATAACTTTTCCATATAAAGGCACCATCAACGACATCTTTGACCATATACAAAAAACCTTCGGCATACACCTTGATTTTCATCAAATACGATACACAAATGTTGTTGGTGATCTTATTGATTTGAAAGGTGTGGAAGATTGGAGGGTTGCTAAATGGGAGGCTGTAAGATGGCATAATGGAAGGATGGTTTTACAAATTGGAAATTACATGTAGTTTGGTCGTATTTCATCATTATACGAAAATTTCATTTGTTTTTGTCTATCATTCCTTCACATAGCAATGTTATTCTAGAAATATGCCGAAGTACCACGTTTTTTGTTTGACCTTGATTCACAAAACAGACCCTAACTTGTCAAAAGGATAGCTAATATTACACTCCTGTATTCAATATCCTGTATTCAATATAAGAATCTTTTTTTTTTCTCATTTTGCATCCATTCCTTATTTGTCATTTTATTCTATAAATGGAAAGATTTTATACTCATAATGGGTATTCTAATTAGTGAATAATATGCTTAATCCCCATTTGCTAATCTCGAAAATTTTCTTGCATGCATTTTGCTTCATCGATAGGATGCACTTATTAATGAAACAAGGTGTGGAACCATTGCTATATTCTGTACAACAATATCACAATTTTTTATAAATTTGTAGAAAATTACTCCGACTGTATCTTTATTTTCTAATTTACTGGTGAAAACCAAAGGAGTGTCGTTAATTAGTTCAACATTCTTTTTCATATCATGTGTTAAATTATTCTTTATCTAGTTCATATATTTTAAGAGGATCGGACTGGCAGAGCACGCATTTAGCCTTAAAATCATTCATTATTAGCGTAACATCTCTAAAAGCGAAAACTTAAAAATAAAATCGTATTCTTAAATCTTTAATATTTCCCCCATTGTAAAAATGCCACTTTTTAAGCGAAAATTATCAGCAAATAATATTTTTTTAGAACAAGCCTTAATCCATGAGAAAGTATCTCTCGTGAGCAATATTGATTATATAGACTCTGATTCTGATGTAAACGATCAGAATGAATCACATTTCTTTTCGGTAATATGGTCAGGTAATAGTAAATCCCTCACTTGCGGCTTTAGCGAGCTTCCCCATTGGTTGCAGGATAATGTCGATATTCTTAAAGGTACAAAATGATGTAATTGTTAGGCTTTAATTGTTTTACTTGGCAGATGATTTTATAGCCATTTTTGCATAGGTTATCGACGACCAACCTTTTCATATATAAAATGCCTACAGTCCCTATTTTATCTTCATAATGAAAGTGGTGCGTATTATATCATTTGTTTCAGCGATTTCAACTGTGATAGCTCGCTTGTAACATTGCACTAATCGTGATCTGCTACTTATGTTTTTATAGTCAACATCTGGTCTCACCTTATGGGTGGACTTATTTTCACACTTTTCTCTGTCATAACATATTTTTATATGTCGGCCCATCCTTCAATAAATTGGTGGGATTTCTTTGCTTTGTATTGTTTTTTGATGGGCGCGTTAACTTGCCTTTTCCTTTCGGCGATGTTTCATACTTTTTCCTGTCACTCGGAAACGGTAAAAAACATTTCATACCTGAAAACTGCGTGATCAGAGCCTTGAATCGTATAATAACTTGTCATTATGTTATAGGTCTGTGCGAATTGGAACAGATGTGATTATGTTGGGATAGTATTCTTAATCGTGTAAGCGCAATTCTATAATTTTATAATAGTTTCCTTCATGAAGATTGATCCTTTTTTTATAGTTAATCTTTTGATAAATTGTTTTTTATTAGCGGATCCGATATCTCTATTGTATACTATGGTAATTTGCTCCTCCTAAAATTCAGTTCACCTCTTATTGTAATTTTATTAATTTAGTTTTGGGTTGACTATCATTTACAGCATTTTATTGTCAAAAAATATTAATGACCTTTTATATCACGTTGCTTTGTGTTCTTGGATGTGCCACGGTCTGTAAAATAGTTTTTTTTTTTATCATTTTTTTTTGATTTCAACTTATTAATTTAATTTATACCTATATAGATTTATGTGACTATTCCCGTACGATTTCGAACACCTGAATTCCGATTGTTCCGTGCTGGATTATTCGCTTCATTAGGTTTTTAATATTTATTTTTAATTGTGAAAACATTTGATGATTTACTGATAATTTTTAATTTTGTATTTAAATCAAATCTTGAATAGGTGCTAGCGCTTGCTTTCCAGTCCTACATGCTATTATTTTATATGGGGTACTTTATCACTTCGTTCATATTTTTAATGCTATTAACCCGTCCGCTAACAGAAACATTGTTATTTATATTTATAGCTACAATTGTGCAATGATGTCATTTCTCTTAAATGGATGTTAATAACTGGTTTCAGTTATTTGATTGGTGCAGTTTTTTATGGTGCCAGGTATGCATTAATTGAAAAAAATCTATTTGTGATTCTATACCCTTATTTTCACTTATTTATATAATATTATTATCATAAACAGGATACCTGAAAGATTTTTTCCCGGATCATTTGACATATGGTTAGGCACAATTTTAATATTTATTTCTAATTTCTGGTTATGGTTATGAGGTGTATAAATAACATTTTTATTTCGTAATACGCAGGGGACATTCACATCAAATTTTTCATTTCTTGGTGGTTTTCGCTTCACTAGCATATTATTATGGCCTCACTCAGGCGATGGCATACTGGCATGAAAATAATCATGAATGCAATGTTGACATTGGATCAATGAAAATTCGACAGCCATTTATATAGATGTATAATATTATATAAAAAATAGAATGTGCATTTAAATATTTATAACATTTATAAATGCACGAATTATATTAAAATCTTATTACATAAGTATTAGTATCATCTTATCGAATAGAAAAATAGAAATACATTTTAATTTTTTTTTTGTTAAAAAAAAAACCAATAAAAAACTAAACTTAGAAAACTTTTGTAACTTAAATTCCTAAAATGGCCAAAAATAATCTACGCTATTTTGATATTAAATTCTAGTTCGTACTGCGAGAGGAATAGCATATTTACTTCTTGCCAAGATATTCTTTATAAAAATACATTAAAGTTAAACATAAGTTATTTAATAGTGTTATAATGTATTATTAAATGCAAGCTTTTGCAAAATAAAAATTTTTTAGCATTTTATTACTATAATTTAATTTTATTAATATGGGGGTGTCAATAGAAACCAAGCAAGTTGTTTTAAAGTAAATTTTTTTTATTTTTAAGTTAATTAAAATATCTCAACAGCTATTAAACCAAACTTGATATTTTAATTCTATAATTATATAGAATTAACAAAACCATTTTTCAAGACATGTACAATATTCTTTTTTCGAACATTTCTTATAAATTAAAATTAAACAGCATTTCGACAAAGTTTAACCAAATCACCATCCTTTTTGGAGATACCGTATTTTCGCGTAATAACGCTCATGAGCGTTATTTCGAATAATGACCCGAATTAAGCTTAATTTTGGGCAAAAATTGAAATTACACCCCTGCGCATTATCACGCGAAAATGCGGTAGGTGTTTTTCTTCCACATGAAAATTCAATAATAATAATAATTACTTGATTGTTGCCTGTTGTGCTAATTACTTTATATAATCCATCAAATTTGTTGTTCTTTGTATCTGGAGTAATTTGTTCGATTCTAAAAAAAAAAAAACAATTAAAATAATTAATAATTAAAATTAAAATTTGCTAAATTGATATAATATCCAACTTATCTTAATGCATAATAAGGATCAAATCTTAGTGATACAAAGATCTACGAGCAATCTCATTTCGAGTACATGCTTCTTCAGCGAATTAATTAATACATTGTATATACTCGGGAGTTAGTTTCCATGTTTTCTTCTGAAGAACTCTTTCAAGCAAACTAGTTTGATATTTACATCGGAGCTTTTTAATCTGCTCGTGTATCTCATCATCTGATAGATCCAAAATATTATTAAGAAATACTGATTTCATGAAATCTTTCCCAGCTCTTTTGTCCTTTTGTTTGTGTGCTGTAAGAATTTTTAGTAATTTGTTCCGAATCCACCTTATCCTAGAGATTAAGTATGAGTTGAATAGCTATTATATATAAACAAGGTAATATCAAATACCTGTGAAAGGTTTTTATCTCTTCGTTATCATGTACTTAATTTATCAATTCTGTATCACTTTCTTCTGAATCACTACATTCATAATATTCAGAATCGCTCCTACAAATATAAAGAAACAATGAAATCAATTGACAGGGTGGAATAGTAATGTATTATATATTCTTACCCAGGTAATTTGTATCGTTTTTTCACACTCAATATATTATCAGATTTCCGTTTTAATGAATTCAATATTTTGTTTGTTTTTCTGTGCATGCTGTTTCTAAGAAATTTAATGCATCCTTTTCTTCATTATTATGGACTAATTCCTGGAGTTTGCAGTAAAAATGTTAGAATACATAAGATATATTATATATAGAAGATATACATACTGTATCATTCTCTACATCCCGCTTTTTACAAATAATTTCTTTTTCTTTTTCAATAATTCTTCCAAAATAAGTCTACGGATTGCGAGTCCTATAGAAGAAAACTGAATTAATATTTGGACTATGTGGAACAAAAAAAACTAAACTATAATTTAAAGGACGTTTCAAACAGTCAGATGTCATATGGAGGGAGCTACCGTCATACCTCAGGAGGGAGCAGAACCGTCCTTTGGCTATACGACATCGACAGTAACTACACGGAGGGAGCTACCGTCATACCTCAGGAAGGAGCGGAACCGTCCTTTGGCTGCATAGTACTGTCTTGACCATTCTGAAAAAAGAAATATACACTAAAATACTTTTCCTTCAAACGAGATGCCTTTTTTCTCTGAAATTCATTATATGCGTCATCATCAGCAATCTTTTCTAAACATTTTATAAATCTTTTCCTCCACAGAGCTTTTTCATCTCGTATCGTGATATCCAAATTCGATATAATAACGGGTTTGAATGTTTTTAAAAAATGAATATATGACCAAAAAAGTGGTTCTACCACAAAATCCCGACACTCAAAATCCCAAAAATCAAAATCCCGACAGTACCAAAATCGACATCAGAATTTTAGTATTGTCGAGATTTTGGATTTTGAGTGTCGTAATTTTGGATGTCGGGATTTTGATCGCTTTGAGTATGAGTTGTAAATCCCGCCATTTCTGAAATTAAAAAATAAACAGTGGGCTTACACATCGATCTACATGTCCGGATTAAACATTGCCGGTAATTTCCTTATGAGGCAATTTTGCCATAAATCCGTAACGTTGGTCATACTAATGGTATGTTTGGATGTTTAGTAAATATTTGGTCGATTGTTCCAAACAATTCGGTCTTTTCGTCGTATTGTATGTTGTTTTTAATTTGTCGGATCTTTAATAAGTATTGTTCCTTTTTTGCTTTGGGTTTCAAAAGTGAATAAACAAAGTCTTGTTCCTTTAATAATTTTATTAGCCCGGAATCCGATATTTTCTTTAGTGTCGGATTTTCTTTTAGTATTCTGGATGCATTTATTCTATCTTTAGGTCGGAATGCTGCTAAATATTTATAATTATAATGGCCATTTAGGAGTCTATTAACTTTATTGATTTTATTTTGTATTTGGCCCTTTTCATATTCAAGTTGTTTCTTGTATTTTTCTATTTGTAAAATCTCAGTTCGTGATGTGGATTCCACTTGTTTATGGTGAATAGCAAATTCGTGGTCTGTCAGTATTGGTAATTTCTCCTGAATTTCATCTTCATCCACTAAGCTTTCTATTTCTTTGTAAGGGTATTTAGCTTCATAATTTAAGTAATCGTCAGCAAGTTGTTCTTCGTGTTGTACTTCTTGCATTCTAATAAAATATTGGTGTATACCATCGAATATTAATTCTAATGGTTGTCTGATCATTGGTATAAGGGTTAAATCTTGTACTTCATTATAAGTATACCATTCCCATGGTGTTGCTTCTTTTGGTTCACATTGCTTTAATTTTTGGAATAAGTTACATAGATAAATGAACACAGTTCTGTTGGTGAGCAGTATTTTTCAGCTACCCAT